GTCACCGACTCCCTGCGGTACACACCCTCCGGGGCATTTCCGGGGTCTCTCTAGGCGCCCTGGAGGACTGGGCTGAATCTTGGTGGTTTGCCGCCCGCCCCTTCTTTTTGTGGAGATTGTAGTCCTTCAGGTTACAGAACTAACCGGTTCTCTTTTTTCTTTTAAAACTTGAATGCCATTCTTTAACACACTGTCTGTGAATAAAGTTTTAAAGCTTTGTTTTGGGAAAAGTTAAAAATGCAACTGTACAATGAGTTGTAAAAAACATTCACCCATGTGGTATTTGTTTACACAAGAAAGGTTTGTAGAGTATCTTCTACATGACAGAACATCGTGCTTGACACCATAAATGTCCTCAAATTGCTCACAGTGTCCTGGGATCAGGCTGGAGGCCTGGGCTCCGGATGGCAGTCCTTTATTCTAGGCTTCGAAGGGAGTTGTGGTGCTTGCTTCCAAGTTGGCTGTGTGAATGGTCATCCTTTCTTCCACGCAGCTTGGGTGTGTGTGTGTGTGTGTGTGTGTGTGTGTGTGTGTGTGTGTGTGTGTGTGTGTGTTGTAAGGGTTCCCTTCCAGGTTGCCTGGGGAAGTGGGCATAGTTGATCTAGACAGGGTGGGGAGTCCCAGGATCTCTGCCCTTCTGCACTGATGCCTGAAACTCCCTGGGTTGGGGAAAGACTGATGTTAGGGTCTGTGGAGGGGCAGGGCCTTACCCTGATCTTGAGGCCACAAATCTTGGTTTTCAAACTACCTAAGGTGAGGTAAGTGCCCATGATGTTGTTATATGTTTTTCTTGTAATTCCCATATTCATGCTGCTCATATCCCAAGGTCTTCATTTTTTGGGCTACCTGGGGGTCTATGTCACCCCAGGATGGCTCTATATCTGGTCTCAGTTCCTCTACCTGCCCAATGTTGATCCAACGGTCTTTCATACCTTCCAGGGTTGGTCTTTGGGGTTGAGGGTTATTAATTTTCATAACAGTTTTTGGCATTGTAGAGACAGGAAGTATGTATAAAGAAGCACCCTTTCAAGATGTACTCCGTAAGTCCTCCAATATTCTTCACCAAAATGGAAGTTTTCCTGTCACTGTCCTGTAGAGCTCTACCCCCTTGTTTCAGACATCCACCTTTGGCCCTCACAGAGTTTGAACCAGAACTCTGGGGCCATGTAGGGGGCAGTGCTACAGAAGGTAGTCAGTTTCTCTTCCATAAATACCCTACTGGGGGCCAAAGTCTGCTAATTTAACATTCATCTCACCATCTAGAAGTATGTTCTCCAGCTTTAGGTCCCAATGTACGATGTGTCTCTGGTGACAGTAATGGACCCCTCATAGTCATTGTCGGAACAGGGCTTGGGGTTCTTTTTCTGTCCCGGGGCTACAGTTCTCTAAGTAGTCAAATAATGTTCCTTCATTGGCATGTTCCATGAAGAGATCCTCGGTGGTAATGACTTCAAACAACTTGGTGATATTAAGATGATCTAGTTCTTTAAGAGAATCAATCTCTTGGGGAACATCATAGAAACTCTGCCAGTTGACAACTTTCACAGCCACCTCTGTGCTGGTGACAATGTGCCTCGCCAGCCTAACCTCGCCAAAGGATTCCTTGTCCATGATGTTGAGTATGAGGTAGTTGCCGATATGGCACTCCTCGTTGGCAGAGATGGAGCAAAATCATCACACTTGGGTGACTTAAAAAAATAAAAAATATTCTGATATCTGATCCCACTGAAGTGGATTTCTGGGAGGAGGGAGAGAAAGAGGAGGAAGAGGAGGAAGAGGAGGAGAAAAAAAAATGAGAAAATAAGCCAACTAGTCCATGTCCAACAGGTAATTACCAATCAGCTTCCTGGGATCTAACAGACTAAAACCTTAGCCCAGCCAGGACCTTATACAGGAGTGATTTGCAATTCCATCATAGTGGCGCCTTAAGGATCAATCATGGCTGGGGATAAACCACAGTGGTTTTCTCACTTTTTAGCCTCATGACCCTTTTCTCACTTTTTAGTTCCAGTACCCCCAAAGAGCTTTTTGTTTATGTCTGATATTAAAGATTAATATTTATTTAATCTTTATTTTTTAGAAATGAAAATCTATAAGATGCAAAAAAAAAAGTCTGACTTACGTTCATGCTCCACATCTCAGTTCTAATATCACCTGCTTAGAGAGGACTTCCCTGATCATCCATTCCTACTCACCTCACCCAGTGTATCACGTTTTGAATTTTCATACCACTGACCACAGTGTAACTGATTCTTTTCTAAAAATTCTCACCCAAAGGTATGTTTTATTGATTTTCGTTTTTTAGAGAGGAAGGGAGAGAGGGGGACATCGATTGATTAGCACCCCTACCTGGGATCAAACCTGCAACCTAGGCAATTGCCTTGACTGGGCAATGAACCTGTGACCTTCCGGTGCATGGAATGATGCTACAACAAACTGAGCTAGACCGGCCAGGGCAGTGTTGCTAATTCTTATTTACTGTATGTCCTTCCCGTGAAGGGGGAGCATGACTGCAGTGTTCCCTGTGTCTAGTGATTGGCAACAAAGTATTTAATAAATACTTGTTCATTAGATTTAATATAGGAATTTGAGGGAATGGAAGAAAATATGGGCAACTACTATTTAATCAGTGATTCATAAAAAAGAAATCTTTCAGAAATTCATGTTCTGTCAGGCTGGCATGGCTCAGTGGTTAAGCATGGACCTATGAGCCAGAGGTGCAGTTTGGATTCCTGTTTGGGACACATGCCCGGGTTGCGGGCTAGATCCCCAATGTGGAACGTGTATCATTTCTATCTCTCTCACCTCTCCCTTCCTCTCTGAAACCAATAAAAATATATTTATAGCCCTAACCGGTTTGGCTCAGTGGATAGAGCGTTGGACTATGGACTGGAGGGTCCCAGGTTCGATTCCAGTAAAGGGCACATACCTTGGTTTCAGGGCACATCCCCAATGGGGGGTGTGCAGGAGGCAGCTTATTGTTTCTCTCTCATCAATGTTTCTAACTCTCTATCCCTCTCCCTTCCTCTTTGTAAAAAAAAAAAATAATAAAAATAAATATATATATGTATATTTAAATATATATATATTTATATATGTATAATTATATTTATTTATAAAAAATACAGCGCTCTCCCCCCCCCCCCCCCCCCCAGTCAATTTGAGCCTCTCCAGCTAAAGGTCTCTCTGGAGATAGTAGGGGATTTTTCTGAATTTCTTTATTCCCGTAAGGTAGACCACAGCGCTAGCAAGTCAGTCTCCAAACCTCATCCCTGATTGGTGAAAAATTCATCCCAAACACTAAAAAACAACTCTTCAGTAGACCCAAGGATGTGTGCTTCCTGATTCAGAGTGGAGTAGGTAAGCCTCATTTGAGCGATATGTAAAAGAGTGGTGATAAGCCTCTTGTCTCACCTGTCAAACAGCAACGTATACAAACATGACAAATTATTAAGGATGGGATCCTCCTGGCTGAAGAAGCCCAGCATAGATGATTTCCCTACTTTGCAACGAAGCGAGGTTTCGGCATCCATTCTCTCCCAGGTAAAAGGTAACGGACTTCGCCAAACGGCCTTCCAGCTCCGGGCGTTGGAGGAAACGCCTCCCTGCTCTCCCGCACTCTGATAGGCCCGCGAAACCGAGGCTGAAAAGAGAGCCGCGGCCCGATTGGTTAGCGGGCACGTTCCGCGCGGCGCTTCCTGGGAGATGTAGTCCTGGTAGCAGCTGGCTCCCGGGACTCTCGAGTTTGACATTGGAGATTTTAGCACAGAGAAGCTGAGATGGTAAAAGAGGCGGGCGTGTCTGGAAACGGGGTGCGGGGAATGCTGAGATTCGTGTGAAGAAACCGAAGGGTTCAAAGTTAAAGGGAAGTGACAGCTGTGGGCTTGCAGAAAGGTACAGACCCTACTCCGAATGGAGGCGTAGGGCGTTGAGAGTTGGGGAGCGCAAGTTCCACAGCAAATCGGGTGCTAGCAACTGTCGCCTCAGCAACAGCTCCGGACACCTCCGACCCCGCCCCCTGCCTGCACGCCTAGGAAAAAGGAGGCGACCAGGAGGAGACCGAGCTGTTTAAATTGCTTTGGGGGAATGGAAACCGGTTTGACTCAGTGGATAGAGCGCCGGACTGTGGACAGGTACGGGGTTCGATTCCGGCCAAGGGCTTGTACCTTGGTTGTGGGCACATCCCCAGCAGTGGGTGTGCAGAAGGCAGCTGGTCGATGTTTCTCTCTCATTGATGTTTCTGGCTCTCTATCCCTCTCCCTCCCCCTTCCTCTCTGTAAAAAAACAATAAACTATATTTAAAAAAATAAATAAATAAATTGCTTTGGGGTTGCCCTGGCTGGTTTGGTCAGTGCACAGAGCATTGCACAGCAGATTGGAAGGTCCCGCGTTCGATTCCAGTCGGGGGCACATGATCGGGTTGCGGGTTCGATCCCCAGTGGGGGTGTGCAGGAGGCAGCCGATCAGTGATACTCTCATCATTGATGTTTCTGTCTCTGTCTCTCTCCCACTCTCCCTTATTCTCTGAAATCAATAAAAAATATTTTAGCCGAGACCGGTTTGGCTCAGTGGATAGAGCGTCGGCCTGCGGACTGAAGGGTCCGGGGATAGATTCCGTCAGGGGCTTGTACCTTGGTTGCGGGCGCATCCCCGGTGGGGGGTGTGCAAGAGGCAGCTAATCGATGGTCCTCTCTCATCGATGTTTCTAACTCTCTATTCCTCTCTCTTCCTCTCTGTAAAAAAAAAACAAAAAACACAATAAAACATATTTTTTTAAAAAGAAGTCAAATTATGGAGTCATTTATTTTAAAAAATATATATTTTAAAAGATAAATGGCCTTGGGGTTGGGTGGTGAAAGAGTGCGGCTCTGTTTTCTTCACGGCTCCTGAGGTTCTGTGGGCGTGCCCGGCTCCCGAGCCCCCGCCCCATTCCCACACCGATTGGCCCGCAGCCCCTGTGGGTGGGGCGTGGGGCGGGCCCTTCCCGCCCGCTGCGCGCGAGGACCTCCGGGTTTCCTAGAGAGGACTCGGAAGTACTCTCGGGGGCTGGTTTTGCGGCGCCAGCCCGTTGGACAGGGAAAGCTTGGACTTGCTTACTTCCGGCGAGGAAGTGTGGAGAAGAGTCGCCTTTGGTTTTCTCACCGTCTGTGGAAAGAAACCCATCTCTCCAGCCTGGATTGCAGGAGCTCGGTCGTCCAGGAGAGCTCCCCGAGGCTGGAGGCTGGAGGAAAGGGAATGGGCGTTGCAACCAGACGGGGGCCCATTCTAACCTTGACCGGGCCGGTCTCCCGGGTGTACGGGGTCAGGGTCGATTCCGAGAAATCCAGGTCCAAATCTGCCCTTATTACCCTGCTTCCCTTCGGGACCCATGAAGTCTCCCGTTGGTCTGCCAGGTCCTTCTGGCTTGGAAGACAGGACCAGTTTTGATCATTGCAGTGTTTTTGAGCCCTGTTCTGACTTAAGTTTGACTTAAAGATAGAAGGAGCGACTGCGTCTGGACTAGTTAGTAAGTCTTGTCCTATTAATATTCTTCACCAGTTACATTGTGTGGGTTGGGCCTGATGTCAGATTTTTTTTTATGGCTTTCATTTACATTTTTTTGAATGTTGGAAAGATGTTTAATATTTCATGGGTGGAGTTACAGCTGACTTGTTCATATTTTAAATGAATTACTCTGTTGAATGGTCGTCTTTCGTATAAATGATCTTTGTGTCACCTCTTTGCTAATAATAATTTCCAATATATCAGTAGGTTGCACAATAATGAACGTGCCCTCCAGAAGACCCTAAAGAGCAGAGAACGTATTTGATCAGTGTAAAACAGCTGAAGTGGAGAGACATCCTTCCGGGTTTGGAATGATAATGACAGAATCTGGGGAAGTCGTAGACTTGGACTCCCCAGCTGAGACTTCACAACAGCAAGAAGACCTTCTGATAGTGAAGGTGGAAGAAGAAGACTGCACCTGGATGCGGGAGTACAGTCCGCCCGTGTTTGAGACTTTTTACCAGCGCTTCAAGCACTTCCAGTACCATGAGGCATCAGGCCCGCGGGAGGCCCTCAGCCAGCTCCGGGTGCTCTGCTGTGAGTGGCTGAGGCCCGAGCTGCACACCAAGGAGCAGATCCTGGAGCTGCTGGTGCTGGAGCAGTTCCTGACCATCCTTCCTGAAGAGTTCCAGCCCTGGGTGAGAGACCATCACCCGGAAAATGGAGAAGAGGCTGTGGCTGTGGTAGAAAATTTACAGAGGGAACTAGAGGAACGCAGACAACAGGTGAGTGGAAGAGGAGACGTTAGTAGGGGTGTCGAACTCAATCAGAGAAGGGGCCAAAATCTAAAATCCAGCCTAAATCGCGGGCCGAATGGTTTACTGAACAGTCATAAACTGTCATTGTGATGGAAACGCAGCGGAGTGCAGTGATGACAGCGCGGTGCGGGCCACATTGCAAGGCCTGGCGGGACGGATTTGGCCCGTGAGCCTTGTGTTTGACACATGTGCGAGCAATGAGGAAGGACAGGAAGAGAGTTGAGCTGCTGAGCAGGGGTGAGATCCTTAGCACTGTTGGTGCTTCATTTATATTTTTTTGTTCTCCTGGGATTAGGTACACTGTGGAGATTTCCTGCCACTCCAGCAAAGAGGAGCAGTATCCAGTGTGCTAACCTGGAGGAGACAATCTGCGATTTAATTTAGTTTTTAAATTACTATATTTATTTTTTGAGTGATACAAAATTCAAAAGGCACTTAGGTAGTAATAAAAGTAAGTTTCCCTCCCACCCCTACTTCCTCAGAGGCCTAATTCTCCTCACCAGAGGCTACTGTTTACATGAGACATGCATATCCTTACGGAGATATACTGTATTCTGTGTATATGAACATATGTGTATATGGCATATTTAAAACACAGGTGTTTTAAAATCACTGTGTATTTCTGCCTCTTGCTTTTTTCTTATAGCTTGGTTTGTTTCATGTCAGTGTAAAGGAGTGACCTCACTCTGAAACTGTGCTATATTTCATTGTATGGATATACCATAAATTGAACTGAGGGCCATTTAAGATGTTCCTTTAGGTTGTTTCTGAATTTTTACTACAAACAACTTTGCTGCATGAATATCTTTACATACACCATTAATTACGGAATGAATGCTAAGTCCATTTGTTGGCTCAGAAGTCATATGCGTTTGTAATTTTGACAGCTATTGATAGATTGCCCTACATAGAGGTTATTCCCAACAGCAATATATGAGAGAATTTTTTTTTTCTTGAGTCTGATAACACAATATTATCTTACCCAACTTTTGATTATTGTCAATATGAAAGAATGGGTTAGTTTGACCATAATACAGATTTTAAAGGGCTATGCATATGTCCTTTTATTGCAAATTATCTGTTTCTATTATTCACCTATTAGGAAAAGTAACGAATGTGTCTGTAATTGAATTGTAATTGTTATTTTTCCACATTGTTGCTTGTCTTTGCTTATGGAGATTTTTGCTTTGCAGGGTGTTTTAATTTTTATGCAATCAGCTTACACTTTTTACATTGTTTTTAGGGTTTTGTGCCACACTTAGAAAGGGCTTCTCAACTATCGGGTCTAGTAATAATTAATGTCGTTTTTAAACGTTCGTTTACAATCTTGCTGGGCGTTGACTTGTATTGACATAACCTTCAAACACGTGGTATCTACAGAACGTGTGAAGTGCAACTAACAAGTTTTGCTTGAAAAAGTTTGTGTTTGGTTTGGTTTTTGTTGCAAAACTAGGGCTAAGAAGATGGCGGATGAAGAGCATATTCGGCACTGCATGCTTTACGAGTTCCAATTAGGAAGAAAAGCAAGTGAGGCTGCAAAAAACATCTGTAGTGCTCTTGGTCAAGATGCAGTTAGTGCCAGAAAATGCCAGCATTGGTTTGAGAAATTTCGCGAGGGAAATTTTTCGTTAGATGACAAGAGTGGTCGAGGCCGTGTGTCCAATTTTGATCAAGAAGCTCTTCAAGCTCTTTTGGTGCAAAATCCTCAAATTACCCAACAAGAGCTTGCGACAATTTTAAATTGTTCACAAAAAACAATTTCCAATCAATTGCGTGCACTTGGCAAAGTCCAAAAGTTTGGAAAATGGGTTCCTCATGAGTTGACCGACAACAACCGTAATCAAAGAGTCACAGTTTGCAGTTCAGTCCTCTCTCGTCAAAACCGTTTGCCGTTTTTAGAGCAAATTGTTACCGGAGTTGAACAATGGGTGCTGTATGTTAATTTGAAAAGGCGGCCTCAATGGTTGGACAAAAATGAGGCTCCGCAGCCCATGCCAAAACCTGACTTGCATGCGAAAAAAGTGATGTTGTGTGTTTGGTGGAATTTTAAAGGAATTCTTCATTATGAACTTTTACCATCTACCCAAACCATTACAAGTGCAGTGTATAGTGCCCAATTGGAAAGGTTAGCCCAAGCTTTAAGAGAAAAAGAACCCGCGCTGATTAATCGGAAGGGCGTAATTCTTCACCATGATAACGCATGACCGCATACTGCAAGAATCTCTGCTGAAAAACTGCGCCAGTTGGAATGGGAAGTTCTCCCTCAACCTGCATATTCTCCTGATATTGCCCCTTCCGATTACCATTTGTTTCGTTCTTTGCAAAACTTTCTTCTTGGAAAAAAATTTAATAATGAAGAATGCCTCAAAAATGCATTGACCGAATATTTTGCATCAAAATCACAAGAATTTTACAACAGAGGGATTAAAATGCTTCCTGAGCGTTGGGCACAAGTAGTAGAAAACAACAGCAACTATATTGTTGATTAAATTTTGTTGTATTGTTTAAATAAATTCGGTTTAAAAAAAGTATTAGAAAACGACATTAATTATTACTAGACCTAATACAATATTATGAGAAATTTTTCTCATAGTTTTGTCTTTATTTTATTTTATATTTTATTGATTTTTTTACAGAGAGGAAGGGAGAGAGATAGAGAGCTAGAAACATCAATGAGAGAGAAACATCGACCAGCTGCCTCTTGCACACCCCCTACCGGGGATGTGCCCGCAACCAACGTACATGCCCCTGACCGGAATCGAACCTGGGACCTTTCAATCCACAGACCGACACTCTACCACTGAGCCAAACAGCTTTCGGCTCATAGTTTTGTCTTAAATTTTTTTTACACTTTTACATTTTTTATACTTTACACTGGAATTCATTTTGGTTTAGGGTGTTTGATATGGTTAAAACTTTATTTCTTCACAGATATTTACCAGGTTGCCCTAGCAACTTATAATCCACCTTTTCTCTTATTAAAATGCCTCTATATTTACATACTGAATTTCTGCATGTATTTGGGTCCTTTTGTGATCTTTTTATTCTATTTTATTGATGTCACTATGTGCTCATGTGTTAGTATTTTAATTATTTGAGCTCTATGAAATGCTTTGGTATCTGATAGAGCTACCCTTCCTTCTTCCAAACTATCCATGTATATAAAAGCTTAAGTGATCAAACCGCTAAACAACCTGTTGACTGGTTGCTATGATGCGCACTGGCCACCAGGGGACAGATGCTCAACGCACAGGATTGGGCTCCCTCCTGCCTGGATTGGGCCTGTGGGGATTGGGCCGAAACTGGCTATCCAACATTCCCTGAGGAGTTTCCGGATTAAGAGAGGGTGCAGGCCAGACCAGGGGACCAACCAGGGCACGAATCTGTGCAATGGGCCTCTAGTGTTTTAATATTTTCTCATTTTCCTTATGATATTTATTTAGTTTTTAGTACCCCCAAAATCCTGTTGGTATTGCATGAAGTAATGTATTAATCTAGGGAGAATCAATATCTTTATGTTGTTAACATCTTGTACTTTCTTACTCATTTATAATCTGAACTTCTACCTTTCTTTTGTTGCTAGACTCACACTCTCTTAAACTTTAATTCTCTTTTTATAGCAAAGAAACAAAGGATTATAGGTCTGCAAGAGGTTGAAACCAGTTAGAGAATTTCCCTCGTTTTCCATAGCCATTGCACTTCATTGTAAAGGACCAGCTCCTTATTCTTTACCTCTGGGTAAGGGGTACTACAACATTCCAGAATATCCTCAGGCTCTTCAGCTGGCTTAGCTCACCCACGAGGCAAGTGGGCAGCAGAGAGAGTTACTGTTGACCTGAAGCCAGACCCTGTAGCTCTCCTGAATGATTGTTGTACAGATGGGAATGTTTGAACCTTTCTATTGCTTCTTTCAGGGCATACAGGTTCATGTTGACATCTAGTTAATACTTTTTTTTTTATTTTTAGTTAATACTTTTTAAAACCTAATTTGGGCCCAGCTGGTGTGGCTCAGTAGTTGATCCCTGGTCAGGGCACATGCCAAGGCTGTGGGCATGACCCCCAGTGTGGGGCATGCAGGAGGCAGCCAATCTGACTCTCTCTCATCATTGATGTTTGGCTCACTGGATAGAGCGTCAGCCTGCGGACTGAAGGGTCCCGGGTTTGATTCCTTTCAAGGGCATGTACCTTGGTTGCAGGCACATCCCCAGTAGGGGGTGTGCAAGAGGCAGCTGATCGATAACTCTCTGTCATCGATGTTTCTAACTCTCTATCTCTCTCCCTCTTTGTAAAAAATCAATAAAATATATATTTTTTAAAAAGTAATTTAGTTCATAAATGGACAAACTATTTTCTATCTTTTTAGTAATATTCAAAAGCATAATTTAAAACAAAAAGCATTTTTTAATACAGGATTGACAGCATGTATTATACATTTGCCTCTTTCGGTGTGATATGCAGCCCGTTTTTGGAAGGGATACAGAGAAAAATAATTTCTTAGTGGTAGTCGCGATTTGAGGCCCAGATAGGGTTTTTCCCACTGCCTCCATAGGGTATCTTAGGAAAGCCAATGAGGGTCAAGTTTGTTTGCCTTTCTCTGTCTGTCTCCTATATCCTAACATTTTTCCTCAACTTTATCTCCAGGCAGTTCTTGTCTCTGCAAACCTTTCCCCAGGCTTTACCCTCCTCCTTTCTCAGACTCTCTGTAGAGTTTCCTGACATCAAGGGCTGTTTTGGTTCCTTGTTGCCCACAGTGCCCTTTGGCATACTTGGCGTCATCTTAACTCTGTTCTAAGTGGGTCAACGAGGACACAAACTTTCACACAGAATATTTGCTACAACTGTTTTGCAACTGCCTCTTAATGTAACCCTTGTGCCACATTTTGCCAGTAGTAAGAGGGTTAAAATCAAAAGTGTTTTGAAACCATAAGGGATGGGGAAAGAGGAGGATGATTCTATCTCAGTGCAGAATCTATTACCTGCTAAGTTGCTGCTGAGCTAGTACCTTCCAGAATAGACAGGTTCTGGAGACTGGCTGTGGCAGAGTAATTGTAGGCATCCTAAGGTTGAGCAGGAGCCAAGAACAGAAAGATTGAGGCCTGTTGCACACTGGACATGAACTAGCTTCAGTCTTGGTGTTGGTCTGCTGCAGAACCACGTGTGACTTCCTGAGTCCTATAATTGACCTTTCCAAACTCCTTTTTCACCTCTCTCCCTCTTTACTAAACTTGACCCTCATTGGCCTTCCTAAGATACCCTCTTTCTGCCTGACAGCCTTTGCTTATATTGTTCTCTCTGCCTGCAACACTTTTTTTTTTAATATCTCATTTTTATTATTCACATGTTATACAGTTTCTACTGTAACCAATGAATGTTGCAAGTTCTGAATATATTTTATTCTAGAATGTATTCATTTGGTTGTAGGTATCATTTTAAAAAATATATATTTTATTGATTTTGTACAGATAGGAAGGGAGAGAGATAGAGAGTTAGAAACATCGATGAGAGAGAGTCATCGATCAGCACACCCCCTACTGGGGATATGCACGCAACCAAGGTACATGCCCTTGACCGGAATCGAACCCGGGACCCTTCAGTCCCCACGCGGACGCTCTATCCATTGAGCCAAACCGGTTTCGGCCTGCAACACTTCTTACCTTTCTCCTGGCTGGCTTCTTTCATCCTTTAGGTGTTTACTTAAGTGACACTTCCTCTGAAGAGCTTTTGATGGCTACCCAATCTAAAGTAGATCTCATGCCCAGCTGGTGTGGCTCACTGGTCAAGCCCTGAACCAAGAGGTCACCGGTTTGATTCCCTGTCAGGGCACATGCCCTGGTTGTGGGCTTAATCCCCAGTAGGGATCCTGCAGGAGGCAGCCGATTCATCAATGTTTCTCTCTCTTCTCCCTCTCCCTTCCTCTCTCAAATCAATAAAAACATATCTTAAAAAAAGAAATAGATCTCATCTGATCTGTCTCATTGTACTTCCTTCTCCTTTCTAACATATAACAGAGTCTGGAATTATGTCCTAATATTTATTTATGTGTTGAAATGTTTAATGGAGGTCTTCTTTAACTAGATCCAGGCGTCTTCAAACTGCGGCCCTCGGGCCACATGCGGCCCGCAGAGGAGTCTGATCCGGCCCGCCAGGTTTTTTGGGCAGTGAGTGCAGCCGAGGTGTTACAGTAGGAATTAGTAGTTCATATAGTCCGGCCCTCCAGCTCTCTGAGGGACCGTGATCTGGCCCCCACTTTAAAAAGTTTGAGGACCCCTGAATTATAAACTATGTATCATCAGTGCCTGGCTCCTTATAGACGTAGCACATTATTTAGTATAGGAACAAATACAAAAATAACGTGAATTTACTGGATTCTTTAATAGCCTTCTCATTAATGTACTGATTGGTGTGGTTGTTAGATTGTGGCAGGTCCGGAAGTCCTTTCTCAGAAGGCGGTGTCATCAGGAGCCATGCAGGAGTCCTTCTGTCACCAGCTTCTGTCTCTGGACCCCCAGCCTGAACAAGAGCCACAGAAGCCTCATCTGGAGGAAAATGGTGAGGATATGATTTGGTGGAATAGATGTGGCCAGAGAGTGGGCGCCCTGGCCATGTGGGTAAGCTGCATGTATAAGAGAGAGACTTCAGGCTAGGGAGCTTCTGTAATCAGTAAGATTTGGAGGTTGGCAGGGTATGGGGATCTGGAATTGAGTCTCTGGTATTAAGAGAAGTCAGGTGGACTAGCTGGTTGAGCATTGACTTACGAACCAGGAGGTCATGGTTTGATTCCCGGTTGGGGCACATGCCAGGTCATGGGCTTGATCCCTAATATGGGGCCTACAGGAGACAGCCGATTCATGATTCTCTTTCATCATTTATGTTTCTATCTCTTCCTCTGCCTTCCTCTCATTTTAAAAAAAGACAGGTCAACTTACAGGATGGCTAAGAACTATAGCACAGTTCTATTCAAAAGCTATAATTCAGATTATGAGAACTTCATAGGTACTGTTAAAAGATTTACAACTTCATAGATTTTATTTTAATGCTTAAGTAAAAAAAAAAAAAAAGGTTTCCAGTTCCTAATTGCTTTCTTTTTCTTTTCTTTTTTTATTAAATTATTATCTGTGTACATATTTTACCATTGCTCCGCCTCCCATACATACCCTCTCTGCTTTCATTTTTTTTAAATTCTTTATTTAATTTTGCTTTCATTCTTTCATTCTTATTTCAAGCAGTGCTTCACCATGACCTTTAGAGCATTTGTTTTCTCTTTCTTTTCTTCCCTCTATTTTATTAACCTGAATTATATATACAGAGAAGAAAAGTGAACAGCTTATCTTTTTTAAAAAAAAATATATTTTATTGATTTTGTACAGAGAGAAAGGGAGAGAGATACAGAGTTAGAAACATCGATGAGAGAGTCATCGATCAGCCGCCTCCTGCACACCCCCCTCTGGGGACATGCCCGCAGCCAAGGCACATGCCCTTGACCGGAACCGAACCCGGGACCCTTCAGTCCCCAAGCCGATGCTCTATCTACTGAGCCAAACCGGTTTCGGCTGAACAGCTTATCTTATTTATGATGATATATGTCCACAAGTCTGTAATCTCTAACAAGAAACTCTTGCTATCAGATATATTTTAGAATTCAGTATTTTTCAGATTTAGTAAGATAATGTGATTTATATACCATATATTACACTACCAACAGGATTTGACATGGCACCCCATATTCACACACATTCATATTTCAGCATTGAAATGTATGTATATATACAGCAGTGGATTAAATAAAATCTTTGATTAGCTTCATATATGTTCTAGTTAGGTTTTGTTGTCAAATTAGTTCAGTGCCTAACTTCATGAAGAAAAAAAAAGATCTTTGGTATGAAGAGCTTTGGAATTTCAGAATTATGGTTTAGAAATTGTGAACTTGTATTTCCTGTTTGGCCCCAGGCCTTTTTCTAGGTTCCCCTTAGCAGTCAAGTCCTTTCACTTGATATGTCCTATGTCTCTAATCTTTTCCAGCTTTCCTTTCACTGTGGTAATAATAATAAAAGCACAGCAGCAGCAGCTATTATGTCTTTGGTGTTTACTATGTGTCAGGACCTGTTTTAAGCTTTACTTGTAGGAATTCATTTAACCTTCAATGTACCAGGAAAAATAATCTTCACTTACCATCTGGGGCCAATGGGTCCTTTTGATTTTCTTTCTTTAAAAAATAAATAAATAAATAAATAAATAAATAAATAATATATATATATATATATATATATATATATATATATATATAATTTATTTTTTACAGAGAGGAAGGGAGAAGAATAGAGAGTTAGAAACATTGATGAGAGAGAAACATTGATCAGCTGCCTCCTACACACCCCCTACTGGGGATGTGCCCGCAACCAAGGTACATGGCCTTGACTGAAATTGAACCTGGGACCTTTCAGTCCGCAGGCCAACACTCTATCCACCGGTTTTGGCATCCTTTTCTTTTTTAAATTTAAGTCATTTTATGCATAATAACAGAAGAATCAAAGGATAAAAACAATTAAAAAAATACTTTTTTATTGGTTTCAGAGAGAAAGGGAGAGGGAGAGAAAGATAGAAACATCAATGATAAGAGAAAATCATCAATCTCTTGCCTGCCCTCACTGGGGATGGAGCCCACAACCCAGACAAGTGTCCTGACCGGAAATCAAACTGTGACTTCCTGGTTCATAGGTCAGTGCTCAAGCACTGAGCCACACCAGCTGAGCGATGAGAACAATTTTTAAAGAAGTTTTAATAAGAATTAAACTTCTTTGTATCAAGTGCATTTTTATAATTAAAACATTATAAAAAACTAAAAAGTACTGTCACAAAGTACTGTCTCTTTAGCAAAATCAAAAACTGTCTTTTTACAAAATAGGTAGTCCAAAATCTTGTTGCAAAATATTGCATGATGAAATCCTTTCCGTTGAATGGCTCACTGGATAAGATGGGTCATATTTCTTTTATGAAATTAAAAAAGAATCTTGAGTTTGAGAAAGGTCACCAGGATATTATCATTTGTAGACTCATTCTGAGATTTCCCTTGTATTTTCAGTTTTATCGTTACCTCAAAATTTGTGCACTGGGGGTGGTCCCTCAGCCCAGTATGCCCCCTCTCACAGTCCAGGAGCCCTTAGAATTTCTGAATTCTCAACTATGCTCAATGAAAGTTAAAAACAGGTGTCAACAGTCTTAGATTTTCTGGAAGATGATGCAAAACTCTGTGCAATGTATTTAATACTTTGGGAAGAGGGAATAATGATGATTTTTTTACTGTTACATAATCCTAAATATTTTTTTATTCTCTCATTTCTTATTATTTTAATCTTCTATGCTCTTATTGGAAATAATTAATGAATAATGATTAGTAAGAATGAAATCATTCTTGGGATGATGAAATAGAAAAATGTTTCATGATACAGGAAAAATAAGATCAGTCAGATCCCAAAATGTTTTCTAAATTTATAAAAGTGTCCAGTGGATCCATATAGAAATTATAATATAGAATGAGTTTTATTCTATTTTTTAAAATATAAAATGCATTTTCTTTCTGTTCTTCAGAAGATCTCTAAAAGAATAAAAGTCATATAATTCCAGTCTTTAAAAATAGTTAAAACTGTTCAACATGGAAACCCAAAATTGTGTAATAGGCCTAGTACTCAGTGGAATGAGTAGGTGTTGCTGTTATCCTCATGTTAGAAATTAAGAAACTGCTGAAACCGGTTTGGCTCAGTGGATAGAGCATCGGCCTGTGGACTGAAAGGTCCCAGGTTTGATTCCGGTCAAGGCCATGTATGTTGGTTGTGGGCACATCCCCAGTAGGGGGTGTGCAAGAGGCAGCTGATCGATGATTTCCTCTCATCGACGTTTCTAACTCTCTATTACTCTCTCTTCCTCTCTCTGTAAAAAATCAATAAAATATATCTAAAAAAAAAAAAATTTAAGAAACTAAGGCCTAAAAAGATAAATTTGTTCAAGGTCACAAAGCTACTAAGTGACAGAGCTCATATTTTAACCCTCTGATTCTACACTTTTACCCCATTCTGAGCTATCCTGCCTTTGCTGTGACCACCAAGCCCTCCCAAATACAGAATCCTGTCCTCCTTAAATCATGTCATCTTCCCTTTACTTGCAGAGTCTCATCAGATCATGCTACTCTTTTCTTCTCTTCCTTGGTGTTGCTTCTCTTCTCTGTCCTGGTAGCCAGTTTCTTTATTCCAACAAAATTACTGTGTGAATTACTATTTTTTGTACACTGGGGGAGGCTGCATTCCTTTGATAGCACTGAAGGCTGGTTTTCTGCCCCTGGGACTAATCTGTGCTTGAAAGAGGCAAAATCATTTACTTAAAAGTTAAAGAAGCAGTGAGTTTCACAGGAACTTCAAATAGTAAGTGGAATTACTTAGAATGAAATTACTATAATAATTCCAATTATAATTGGAATGTAGTCTATATTCACAATTACTGTTCAAGTATAGACTGCATTTCATCCCCTTATTTCAAGTCTCCTCTTTTGACTATTTAACCACACTCCTGGTTTCAGACTCTGTTTTTGTCTTTCATCAATAATCATTCTCCTTTTTGTGTCATTGCTCATTACTTTTTAGTCCTCAGACACCAGCAGACTACATATACATAGACATCCCCAGGACTAGGGAAACCATAGCAAGGTCTAAACTGTCAGTTATTTGTTTAAGTTGGGGCTCACATAGATTGAGATCTGGATGCACCATGAATCTTGACAAAAACAAGCAGAGGTGACAGCAGAGATTCAAATAGTCACCAGCATCTAGATATCAGACCCTGCAGGCATTACACATGTTATTCACTCCACCTTCAACGCTCCCTTATCCTCACCCCGCTCCACCCCTATCTCCTGTGGAAAGGCTTTCCTGCAGCTTTCACCTTCCACTCTCTACTGGGCGTTCCTAGATGGTGAACTTCAAGTGTAGTGTTGGTAATTTACCCTATTCTGGAAAAAAAAAGTAAGGTTTCCATGTCTACAATCCCTATTACTGAAGTTTTGGAAGGCAAGGACTGTTTTATCTGCCTATTATACAGATAAAACACAGAGTAGGCTTAATACTATATACTAACTGGTTACTATAAACCAACCATGGTAATTTCTTGGAGAGAGAGCATGTGGATTTGCTAATCATAAAGTGTAGTCCGAGGAGCAGCACCACCACCATCACTTGGAAGCTTGTTAGAAATGCACAACATGGAGCCCACACCTGCTAAGCCAGAATCCGCTCTGTGCTTAGACCCCTGGGTGATCTGTTTGCTCATTAAAGCTTCAGAAGCCTGGGCTCTAGGGCTCTAGGAAGTGATTGAGATCTGAAGCTGGGAGTCTTTGGTTATCCTTTGAAATGATTAGGTTCAGTCTTTGGCAGAGCAGAATGGCACGATTTGAAGAGAGCAGCAGGGATTAGCCTGACCAAAGCAGGGAGTCTAGTTTTTTGGGTGGAAGGGTGAATATAGGGTAGGCGTGGGAGAGGCCGGAATGTCGAGGGTCTTGAGAGCCAAGCAGAAGAATCTGGTTTTGACGTGGCAGGGCACCATCGTAGATTGTTGACCAAAAGTGGAATATGGTGGCAATCAGAGCTGGGCAAAGATATCACTAATGCCTCTTTCTCTCTCCCCCTCAGCCCTTCCTGCTCTCCAAGTTTCTTCCCTTCCCCTGAAGGACAGCCAGGAGCTGACAGCCTCACTTCTCTCAGCTGGGTCCCAGGTGAGCTGCGTCCCTGTGCCTGCAGTAAGGACCCATGTCCGTTCTTGGGGACGGAGCTGCCTTAATCCTGAATCTTTATCAGGAGTTCTGTCTCTTTAGAGATCAGGCACACCTTGGGTTTATACTTCAATCCAGTATTCCCCATCCTCTTTGAAGCATAGTCCCTCTTCCTATTTCTTTCCTTAACACTTGCAGTTCTTTGCCTCATCCAAATGGCACATAGGGAATGGGAATTTAATGGAAATCTCATGTTTCAGAAGGTGGTGAAAGTGGAAGACGTGGCTGATGTGGCTGTTTCCTTTATCCTGGAGGAATGGGAACATTTGGACCAAGCCCAGAAGTCTCTCTATAGGGATGACAGGAAGGAGAATTATGAGAGTATTACCTCCATGGGTAAGACTTACTTTGTCTGCATGGATTAGGAGATATTAATTTTGTTATCTTACAAAGAATATTTCTAGTACATCTTATAAAAGCATGTGTGTTTTAATTGCTATAATGTGCCACTTTTTTTCCCCTGTGAGATAATAAATCAACTTTCTCCCCCCTTAGCTTATTTTCATTATTTCCTTCATAATAAGGGTATGTCTGAAGTGCTTGGAGAATAATATTTGCAAATACTATCTGTTACCTCTTTAAAATGAAAGAGCTTAAAACTAACAGGTTTGGATTTTAACAGATTTGCAGCAATTATTGTAGTCTATTCCTTGACAGATTGACTAATTCTTAGCTGAATAATTATCATTTGTGAAAGCATCTCAGACTTTGCCGAATAAGTGTATTGTAGTAATTATTTTTACAATATTTCAATGTCGTTTGTTCTTTTCTTTCTAGCTCATAAGTGGCTAGTTGTTCACCCTATTACCATTCTCAAATCACTAGTACCTATTTTATGATGTTTTCCCTGTTGGCATCTACATTTTACATGTTTTTTTTAAATATATTTTTTTATTGATTTTTTACAGAGAGGAAGGGAGAGGGACAGTTAGAAACATCGATGAGAGAGAAACTTTGACCAGCTGCCTCCTGCACACCCCCTACTGGGAATGTGCCTGCAACCAAGGTACATGCCTTTGACCGGAATCGAACCTGGGACCCTTGAGTCCGCAGGCCGATGCTCTATCTACTGAGCCAAACCGGTTTTGGCTACATTTTACATGTTATATCCCTGTAAAAAAAAGAAAATCATATTTGTTTTACTTTCTGTTTACTTAACAAAATTTTTTAGTTGTTTTTCTTCTTTTTTATTGTTTCTTTGTCATACCCTTCTTGAATTTTGCATCCTAAATAAGATTTTGCTAGTATTTCTTTTCTTTTCTTGTTTTAAAATATATTTTATTGATTTTTTACAGAGAGGAAGAGAGAGGGATAGAGAGTTAGAAACATCGATGAGAGAGGAACAATGATCAGCTGCCTTCACACTCCCTACTGGGGATGTGCCCGCAACCAAGGTACATGCCCTTGACTGGAATCAAACCTAGGACCTTTCAGTCCACAGGCTAACTCTCTATCCACTGAGCCAAATCGGTTTCGGCCGGTATTTCTTAATAAGTCATGATCTTGGAAACTAATATTTGATTTTGCTGCCTGGAGCAATTATAAAAAGTTTAGTACTATGGCAGACATTTTGGAGCTTATAGCTTTTAGCTTCTTTTGAATTAATTCTTTTATTTCTTATTAAAAATATTTTTATTTATGTCAGAGAGAAAGGTAGAGAGTGGTAGATACATCAATGATGAGAGAGAATGATTGATTGATTGCCTCCTGCATGCCCCAACTGGGGATCAAGCCCAACTGGGCATGTGCTGTGACAAGGAATCAAACCGTGACCTTCTGGTTCATAGGTTGGTGCTCAACCACTGAGCCACACCTGATGGGCTTGAGTGGATTCTTTTTTTTTCTTTTTCCTTTTTATATATATTTTATTGATTATTTGCAGAGAGGAAGGGAGAGAGATAGAAAGCTAGAAACGTCGATGAGAAAGAAACATCGACCAGCTGCCTTTTGCATACCCCCCAACAGGGATGTGCCCACAACCAATGTACATGCCCTTGACCGGAATCGAACCTGGGACCCTTCACTCTGCAGACCGATGCTCTACCACTGAGCCAAACCGGCTTCGGCTTGAGTGGATTCTTTTAGAAGAGCCACTATATAATAAGCACACTGGTAGACTTTAGATGAAATACATAGATAATTCCAGATTCCTTTTGAAAAATGTTATACCAGTATACATGGTCATGTGCTCCTGTTGGGTTTATATAATTATTCTATATCTCTTAGTCATTTTATTTCTTCTACTATAGGAAGTAGTTAAATTTTCCATTTTTCTTTTATTATTTCAGATTGCAAGTCAAAGAATGACAATATGGAACTCATAGTAAAGCAGATTTCTGATGAAGCCAAATCACACTGGGTGACATCAGGAAACACTGAAAGTGTTGCCCAAGGTCAAGAATTTGGAGACGTTAATGACCTTCGCAGCATGGTAGAAGGGTGGCAGGTAAACCCCGGTGTGGGGAAGTCAAGGCAGAACCCTTCTCAGAAGAGAGATCTTGGTGCCATCACAGACGTTAACTGTAAACAAAACACAAATGCTGAGAGAGGTCACAAGTGTAACGACTGTGGTAAATTTTTCCTTCAAGCCTCAAACTTCATTCAACATCGGCGAATCCACACTGGAGAAAAGCCATTTAAGTGTGGTGAATGTGGGAAAAGCTATAATCAGCGTGTGCACCTTACTCAGCATCAGCGAGTCCACACTGGCGAGAAGCCCTATAAATGTCAGGTGTGCGGAAAAGCCTTTCGCGTGAGTTCCCACCTTGTCCAGCATCACAGTGTGCACAGCGGAGAGAAGCCCTATGGATGTACCCAATGTGGGAAAAACTTTGGTCGGCACTCTCATCTGATTGAGCACCTGAAGCGCCACTTCAGAGAGAAGTCCCAAAGATGTATGTGTGAAGAGTTGTATTGGAGAATAAATGGAGGCAAAATGTTTTTATTAGCTTAGAACAGATGAGTTGTGATAAGGGAGCAGTAGGAAGGGGCAAAGATTACAGTCTAGTATTTACTAGAGGCCTGATGCACGAAATTCATGCAGGAGGGTGGGGCTCTCAGCCTGGGCTGCTCCCTCTCATGACCTGGGACCCCTCACTCCTAGCCACCCACCTGCTTGCTCCTTACTGCTTGGCTCACTGCTCCTTAGGACTGTCATGGAGGCAGGAGAGGCTCCCTCCACCACTGCCACTGCATTCACCAGCTGTGAGCCTGGCTGGCTTCTGGCTGAGCAGCACTCCAGCTGTGGGCACACACTGACCACCAGGGGGCAGCTTCTGAGTTGAGCATCTTCCCCCTGGTGGTCAGTGTGTGTCATGGCGACCAGTCGTTCTGGTTCCGCTGTAATGGTCGTTGGGCTTTTATTATATACTCCCCTAGGGGCCCAGTGCACGAATTCATGCACCTTGAAAGGAACTGTGGGCTGCAAGGCTGTGGTGGGCACAGGGGCGGGTCTCATCCATCCTCTGCGCTTCCTTCCAGCCCCTCCTGCTGTGGCCCCGGTCCCCTGTCTGCCAGCAACCCCACTCCTGGCCACCACCGCTCCCACGTACTGATGGTGCCAGTGCTGCTTGCACCTGCTGACAGTGCAGAGTGATTGGGGTGGGGGCCAGCAGCGGGTGTGAGCAGGGCCAGCATCATCAGTGCTGCCCCAATCACCCCTCAGGGGCAGGGGGAGGTGGAGAAGCTCTCAGTGGCAATCAGGGCCAGCAGCCACCATTTGCACCCACTGATGGTGCCGAGTGATCAGGACCGGAGCCAAGTGCTGGCAGAGGGTTCAAGCTGTGGCTCCAGCAGCGGGTATGAGCACTGGGTGGGATTGCAGTACCTGGGAGCAAGGAGTTTTCAGTAACCACCAGAGGCTCACCCTGATGACAGCGACCGCTCCCCCCTTAGTCTGGCGCCCCTCACCTGCTCCACCATCCTGCTTCGGCCGACACTCACCATGTTCTGCACTCTGCTGTCTGCTGCTGATGCTTGCCATGTTCTGAATGAGCCCCCTGGTGGTCAGCGCACATGATAGCAACATTGTTCCACCATTGGATCTGTTTATGTATTAGCCTTTTTTATATAGGATATTTTTATTGTCAAATCAGTAGGCAAAACCCTATGCCCTCTCCCCTGTCCCAACTTTCCTTTCTCCAGAGTTACTTGCTTTTATTATTTTCTTCCAGTAATTCCATATCTCTCTATAAAAGGCTAACTGACCAGATGACCAGTAGCTATGATGCACACTGACCACCAGGGAGCAGATGCTTAACACAGGAGTGCCAAGCTGCAGTGACTTGGCAGCAGTGGTTCTTGAATGACGCACCATGGAGCCAGACAGTAGGGAGCCCAATTCTGGGGTTTGTCACCTGAGAACCTCCCCCTTGCAATCTGGAACCCTTCAGGAGATGTCGGAGAGCCAGTTTCAGCCAGATCCCCACAGGCCAGGCAATGGGACCCCACCTGCCAGAGGGATCCTGCTCACTCTGCAAACACCCTTCGAGCCATGGCGCTATCCCAGGTGTGGACGGCTGAGAGGGACCACGGGAGGTTGGCTGCACAGTGTGTCCGGCCTGTCTCACCCAGTCCCACCCCGCCAGCTCGTTAGTCCTATATAATAAAAGCCTAATATGCAAATTATCCCCTCGGGCAGTCGTTTGGCCAGGAGTTAAACCACTTGCTATGGCATGCACTGACCACCAGAGAGCGGCGCAGAACATGGCAGGCGGTGACACTGCGGCCTCTCGCCAGCTTCCTGGGGGGGAGGTGGTGGAGATGGAGGTGCTGGGAATGCAGGGTGTCTCCTGAGCTCGCTTTCACGCCCTGGATGCCAGGGCTCACGTGTGGAAGCCCGCCACCGCCGTGCTCAGGTGCTGGGCGCCCGCAAGGAGCCTGCTCCATACCTGCATGGCTGCTTCTGGGTGAGCCAGGACCGCAGAGGATGGTTGGGCTCCCCGTGGGTTTGTGCCAGGAGAGAGTGTGCTGCTTGCCTGGCTTTTGTGTGGTGCTGCTGGGCAGCTCAGAGACCCACTCTGCACCCCAGCCCATGGCATCCAGCTGTGCTCTCCACATCTCCACATGGGGATTCGGGTGCTGTGACTCACATAGACAAGGGTGCAAGGGGCCCAATGGCCCCAGTGCTTCCCAGGGCCCAGAGGTCAGCTGGGACCTGCCCTTCCACGCCAGATTGCCATGCTTCGATAGCCAGCCAGGCCTAGGGACTGCACCCATGCACGAATTTTGTGCACCTGGCTTCTAGTTTTAAATAATCCTACTATTGCTTTATTCACCAATTTTAGACATTATCTATTTACTTTCTAGTCTAGTTAATGAGGAGTTGGACTCTCTTACTTGCTTCTTCCCATTTTCCAACTTTTTCCAATTTAGTTATTTTACTTTAAAATAATACGAAGTTTAAAGGAAAAAAATTGGGGGGGGGGGGAATCACACATAATCTCACCATCCTAACTAATAGAATTATTACTGTGTAGTGGATCCTTCTATCCTTTTTCATAACCCTATTTTTACTTTTAAATTTATTTTTAAAATCAATTTCAGAGAGGAAAGGAAAGGAAGAGAAAGATAGAAACATCAGTGATGAGAGAGAATCATTGATTGGCTGCCTCTTGCATGCTCCACACTGGGGATTCAGCCCGCAAACTGGTCATGTGTCCTGACTGGGAATCAAACCATGACCTCCTGGTTCATAGGTCAACAGTCAACCACTGAGCCACACCAGCTTGGTTTATAGCTTATTTTTATATAGTTATACTCATAGGACACAAATATTAGACATATACATTTTCTAGTTTTACTTGACCATCCTGTTTGTTATTTTATTTATTTATTTATTTATTTATTTTACTATTTGTTATTTTTGATAATCTGCTATTGTGTGGAGACATCATAATTTATTCAACTGTTCCCTGGTTGGACTTACAAAATTTCACTTTTGATAACTCTGTTTATGCCTTTTTCAGTATTTAGGATTGTTTTCTCATAATAGATGCCCAGAAGTGCTATTAGTGGCTGAAAGGCCAAAAACATTTTTATGGCTGTCAATGCAAATTACTAAATTGATTTTTATATTATTTATTTTTTATTTGAGAGAGAGAGAAAGAGGGAAAGAAACATCATTCAGTTCAAACTTGCAGCCTAGGGATGTGCCCTGACCAGACTCAAACCGTGACCCTTCAGTTCACGGGATGAGGCTCACACTGGCCAGAGCTAAATTGTATCAAGTACATCTATGCGTACCCTTTTTACCTCTATTACATTATATATTCATTCGGTTAATTCCTTTTCCTGACAGCTTATTTTTCTTCTACAAAGGAACTGATGACATTTGCATTTCCTCTTTATTTTTTCAGGCAATGACAAAAGGAGTAAGAATACAAAATTGAATGTTAAGAAGAAAATTTTAGAATTTTCAGAAGCAGACATGGAACTATCTGGAAGAATCCAAAAAAATGTTTCTCAAGTTCAAGATTTTGGAGAAGGCAAGTTGGATAGAAAGCAGGGAATTCCCATGAAAGAGATAGTGGGACAACACTCTTCAAAGAGGATAAATTTCAATCAAGTCACATATGTCCACAAAAAATCCACCGCAGAAGAGAGACCACATAAATGTAATGAATGTGGAAAAAGCTTTATTCAGAGTGCCCATCTTATCCAACATCAGCGAATACACACTGGAGAGAAACCATTTAGGTGTGATGAGTGTGGGAAAAGCTATAATCAACGTGTGCACCTAACTCAGCATCAGAGAGTCCACACTGGCGAAAAACCCTATACCTGTCACTTATGTGGGAAAGCATTTAGAGTAAGGTCCCATCTTGTTCAGCATCAGAGTGTGCACAGTGGGGAGAGGCCCTTTAAATGTAACGAGTGTGGGAAAGGTTTTGGGAGGCGTTCACACCTTGCCGGGCACCTAAGACTTCATTCTAGAGAGAAAACCCATCAGTGTCATGAATGTGGGGAAATCTTTTTCCAGTATGTTAGCCTCATCGAACATCAGGTGCTCCACATGGGTCAGAAAAAAGAAAAAAATGACATTTATGAGGAAGCATATAGTTGGAACTTAACAGTGATGGAAGATAAAAAGATTGAGTTACAAGAGCAGCCTTATAAATGTGATATATGTAGCAAAGCCTTTAATTATAGTCCTGACCTTATTCAGCATTACAGAACTCATACTGCAGAGAAAACCTGTAAATCTGATCTATGTAGAGAAAATGGTGGCCAGTGTTCTCACATAAAACAACGTCAAAAAACCTATTCCAACGTGAAATCCTATCAATGTAACGAATGTGGCAGAGGCTTCACTCTGAAGTCACATCTTAATCAACATCAGAGAATCCATTCTGGTGAGAAACCCTTTCAATGTAAAGAATGTGGAGTGAGTTTCACATGGAGTTGTAGCCTCTTCAAACATCTGAGAAGTCATGAGAGGACAGATTCCATAAATACCTTAAGTGTATAGATGTTTCTGTTATAGCACCGCTCTTACTCAATTTAGACAGGCTTTCCTGAAGAGAAATCGTACTCCTATGATGAATGTAGTAGCAACTTCAGCTTAACCATAAAACCTCCAGATACATAACTGAAATCATTCAGTTAGAATTTAGGAACAGTGGAGAACAAGAAATAGATAATTTGTTTGCTTTCCCAAGGAGAAATGCTTTTATTAGCATCTTCATGCTTGAGAATGTAGACAAAAGAGAACCCATGGTGCCCGAATGGCATTGCTCAGTGGTTGAGTGTCAATCTATGAACCAAGAGGTCATGGTTCAATTCCTGGTCAGGGTAGTAAAAAGAGAGAGAGAGAGAGAAAGAGAGAGAGAAAGAGAGAGAGAAAGAGAGAGAGGGAGAGAACCCATGGATTTTATGAGTGAAGGAAAACCTTCAAGTAGCACTTATTCTTCATTTGAATGTCAGAGCATTGACACTGGGAAAGCCTCATGGATACAGTAGAAATAAGCTTTGTTTGTAATTTCTGCCTTGACGGCTTATCTATTCGGGGAAGAGCACAGGTAAAGAAAGAGAACTCCAGCATGATACTTGTTTTGGTACCTCAGCAATGAACCTCCCCTAGAAATGATTGTCCTGGCCAATGGAAGGCACCAGTCATTGTTCCCATCGTAAGTATTAGACCCTTTGGGGAAAAATTGACTTAAAGATTTATATTTTGGAAAAATTGGATTCAGAGGCTGAATGGTATGTGTTCCTTACTATCTTATTCAATCCACAACTTCTCCAGGAAACACACTCGACTTTTTTGGTTTTGTTTTGATTCTCTTACCGTCAGATTAGCTATTAGAAAGAGGAATTAAGTTTTTCAATTCAGTAGAAACTGTTGGCTAGTCACATCTTGAGGGAAGGGGAGCGGGACCTTAGGGGAATAAAGAACAGAGGCCAAATGGTGGACTTCTTTTTTTTTTTTTTTCTTTTCTATTATCCACAAGAATCAGGGTAGCTATGCCAATAGAACTGTGGTCCCACCCTGGCCAGTTTTGCTCAGTGGATGGAGCATGGGTCTGTGGACTGAAGGGTCCCAGGTTTGATTTTGATCAAAGGCACATGCTGGGGTTGTGGGCTCGGTCCCCAGTGTGGGGCATGCAGAAAGCAGCCAATCGGTGATTCTCTCTCATTGATGTTTCTATCTCCCTCTCCCTCTCTGAAATCAATAAAAATATATTTAAAAAGAAAAGAAAAGAAAAAAGAATTGTCATCCAAGCAATATGTATACTAATTCCCTGTTGCTCTGGAGATAGATGTCCCCACAGGATAATGACATGTAGAATGAGTCTCAATTTGCATTGCAGCTGGATTTGAGAGTAAACAGTAATTAGGAGCAGGAAGGTCATGGTCTGGGTAGGAGTTGTGGGCAAAAGAAGATGGCATGGAAAAACTTTAATTTGAGTCTGTTTGCTAGAGAAAGGGAAAGAGCTTTTGGGCACTGCTGAAGTCCTGCTTCTACTGACTGTCTAGCGTACAATAAAGACCAAATTAAACTTGTTGATTGTGTTGTACACTGGTGTCCTGTCCAGATTCCTCTAGCCAAACTTCACACCTACCCACTAAACTGCCCAGAGTTTAGGCTGCCAAGTGCTCAAAGCTCTTCCCTTCTCCAAAGATTCTAGATTCTTGTCCTCAGATGGTGGGAGCTAGGAGTTAATCTGCCGTCCCCGCTCCAGCCAGTGCCTGACTGATATGGAGGTACAAAAGGTTGGTTCACTTGCCTAAAGCAGGGGAAAACTATAATGTAGTTTGTTTCCCAAGCCACTCTTTATGGATCTGGCTAAGGCTAGACTTTGAGACTGTGTCCATGCTTGACTCTTGCCCTCTTGATCGGTTTCATTCCCTCTCGCAAAAATTTTTCCTGAAGAGCATACCCTTAA